TGGTCTGAAGTTATTTTGTAAAGGTAGAACAGTTACATTAGGATCGGCACACATGAACTGACTAGTAGCCGCGACTCGTACCGAGGACTAAGTCCCTTCAAATAAACTACCATTTAAATTTTTCATCAAATGGTCTAGTCGCAGGGTCCAAAACGTAAGCCTTGCGACTTGTCCCAAGAATTCAAACTGGTTTGAATTCGTGAGAAAAGTCGCAAGAACTTGTCTCCCCAAATTATCCGGGTCCCTCCGTGTAAACTGTTTATGGGATAAGTCCTTGCGACTAAATGAACCAATCCAATCACTTTAAAAGAGAAATATAATCGCGGCGTTCCGACTGCATACTGCTAGTCTTCACGAAGCGAGTAAGACGGGCGGTAAAATAATCAGCCGAAATGTCGCGATGCACATCCGAAGTGACCACATCGTGAGAGAAACGATTTTATCATGTAAACTAACGGTATTAAACAAGGATTATTAGCCCTGAGAAAAGCCGTAACAACACACGTGAAAAGTACGATATTTTTTCACTTTGTTTGATATCGCTAATCAGCTGCTGACACGTCACTCGCCTTTTGCGCCACTTGGTCAGGTTAATAAATGAACGGCAAAGCCTTCACCATTTTCAATTCATGTTGTTAGTCGGAATTTTCTCGTATCCTGACTGGTAAAGTACTGAAAAATCCGTATGGTTTTCAGACACTGACGTTCAAACTTTCCTAGAATGTAAAGAAAACCAAATTGCGAAAAGAAAAGCCGAAAGTTACGCATTCAGTGGTTTTGGTAATGGCATTTCTCGCAGCTGAGAGCGAAAATCGACAACTAGTAGATTTTCCACGGGCCAATTTTATCAATGTAGCTGAAAGATTTGTATAGGTCATGTAAAAGTCAATAACTTACAATTTTTTTTTATACCGAAAATGACGCCCATTGTTGTTTTGTAGTGATTCAGCGCTTTTTTTTTCCATATTGAGCTTTATCGCCAATGCACTTTACGATTTTTATTCGGGGATTGTCGATTCCTTTACTTTCATTCATTAATAAAACCAGCTTTTCTTGTCGGCTAAGGGCTACTGTTTTTATAAGATAAACAAGATAATACAAGGCTGCTTGCAGATATGGAATTTCTCTTCAAGTTTCAAAAGTTCATCAAGCTTTGCATCCACCTTGCATCCACCTTCTCTCGCAACCCGAAAGGAATTCTGCGTACTTGCTGTGCCACAGGCTTCACCGACTCATCAACATGCAGTTCTTATTCGTAACCCTTCAAAAGACCAACTCCACTAAACAAGTGCTTGTATTTCTCTCTAACATCACTGTCCGGTCGTCCACCGTCAACACTGTTGGCCTGAAAAGGACCAACACGCAGCAGGTTTAGCGCCTCGGGAGTTTCGCGACCCAACGGCGTACAACCATCCCCTTCAACCACTACGAAGTCAGCCTTGTTTCCATCTTTAAACCCAGCTTGCGTGACATCTGCCATAAAAGTTCCTAGGGTCGGTAAAGGTTCTATACCACCATAAACAAAAAGTTCTTTCAGTGGTGATAGTAACCCCTTTTATTCATTTGAAATTTCAATCAGTCGATTTTTCTAGACCTGGCAACGGAAGAAGAAATTATTGCTATTGAAAAACGAATAGTCAGTCACAAAAAGCTGCGGCCATGATAGTATTCCTATGTATACAATAAACAGGAAAATTTCTGAACGTTATCTCCGTCCCGTTCACATAAGTGGTTAATTTATCTATATTGCATGGCATCGTCGCAGAAAAAATGAAAATTGCCCGCGTTGTAGCCAAATTAAAACTTTGTTAGTAACGGGGCAATATTTCTCTGATAATATGCCTGTCCCGATCGTTTCTCGCTTTTAAAAATTTCCAAAGTGAATAGCTTACAGTCTAATCTTAATTAGTAGCCAAGTCTTTACCGAGGAAATCACCATGTTGCCGAAAACTCCCAGAGTTCGACTCAAGTATCGCTTAAGAGGCTTTCAGTCGTTTGCTTAACGATACAAGCTTACAACGGTTTTCGACGTGATCTCAACTTCTTCTAAACTGTGCGTGCTGTTGTCAAACGGCGGGAATTGTGGTCAGAAACAAATTATCGATGAAATATGTGGCAAAGTTTGTTAGGCATCGGTGGGGATATGAAAAGATAATTTAGTTTTATCAACTGAGATAAAGTGAATTGTCTATCATTCAAACTTTCCAAAGCTAGCTTTGGAAACTCTTTACAGCATCTAATCTACATTATCAACTCAGTTGATAAAACCAAATTGTCGTCGAAGTAACTTTTTTCAAACAAAGATATATTATTTCAAAGCCAGTAAACCGTATTTGCAAAAACTGTGCCCTTTGGTCTTGAGTGTCGCCCGAGGTCCTAAGGCGTTACTCAAGACCTCAGGCGCAATTTTTCCCAATACGGACTGACCTAGGCTAATAAATGACAAATTTGAATTTTATTTAAAACTTAACGAAAGGTTTGCCAAAAGAACCCGAATAACAAGCCTCTTTTGTTCCTCATTCACTTTCCAAAATTTTAGAGCAAATAGCTTACAGTCATATCTTCTTTTTTGATGGCCAAGTTGTTACCGAGGGAATCGCTATGTTGGCGTAAACTTCCAGAAATTCGACTCTTGTATCGTTCCAGAGGTTTTTCTTTTGCTAAACGATACAAGTATATGGCGGCTTTCGACATGATTAAAAGATTATTGTTATGTACATACTCTACTCGTCTTTGGACCATCTTTACCAAGTTTATTACAGTGCCACATGTCTTCTTACAAAGAGTGACAGGTATTACAAAGTGAGGTGATTATTACAAAGTTATTAAAAAAGTTGGCTTCTCGTTACCTTCTATATTCTCTCAACTAACCGACAGTGATCGCAGTTTACTTTATGGTGTCTTCGCTTATCGTGCTGAACTAATATTTTCTCCCATAAGAATGAAGTATTCTTTGTTTTCCCCAGGCCCTAACGCGCTTGACGAGGTGACTTTAGGGTCTTGAAGCAGAATCAAAAGTAAGAAGTAAACTTGAAAGTTTGCTTTTTGTCCTTGGTTTAACCGCCTTTTTCTTCTGCATCTCATACAAAGCTGAGATAAGAAAAGGAAATAGCAAATCCAGAAACAACAACAGAAGAATAGGTAAGTTAATGAGTTGGAAATGTTTTACAGAATTTGATGCTCGCCAGGTTAATTATAGGTTAATTATGCCCTCGGAGTTTCAGTTACTTAATTAATTTTGTTAATGAATTTCACATGACCTTGAATTTGTTCCCTTGAACATGTCGTAAAATTGCATTGCGAAGGAAGGAGCTCAGGTGAACAGGACCACATCATGTAAATAGGCTTCTTCAGCTTTCGGAAGCGCGTAACTTAGTTATATCTATGTGTTTGAAATTTGTTATATTACTTTTATTGTCCTTGACTGATTTTTGCCCCAGCAAGGTCTAGTATTCTGCTTGGCACAATCAGATGTCAAGTCCAAAAAGTGAAAAGAATTATTACTTAAAACGAAGAACCACTTCGTCAATAAACTTCATTGTACAGTTCCGATAAACCTAGATCCATTTTTGAGCTGAGAAACTGGGCACTTAAGCCGCAAATTTGATCGAATGTATATTATCAAAGTATTCGATTTTAACGTTGCTAAAGTATGTCAACCGTCTGTATTAACACATATCCTGAATGTGAAAACATGTACTGCAGGAAAAAAAGATACGTATTATCCACATCAAAACATTCTTCAGTGTTACGGTTGTAAAAAGTCGATGCTTTTGAAAACTGTTCCAGAGGGGGCGATCCTTCCAGTAAACTAGAAAGCAAAACCAATTCAACTGCATATGTAAAAGAGCAACTTTTATGAATTTCCAACAAAAGCATGACAACAAAGATAAAAATTTTTATCGTAAAATAGGTTGTGCCTATTCATCGTGGTAAGTAACACTTCAAAAAGAGAAATAGAATCGTTTGTCTCACGACGTGGTCACTTCAGATGTGATTGTCCTTCGACGTAGAATCGTTGTTCACCAAAGTTCCGATCTACGTAACTGTAGAAGCAGCTCGGCAGAAACTGGAAAACGATTCCAGCCCACCCAACTGCACGACATTACCACCTAGTCATATTACAGACCTCCCCAACTTGATATTGAGATCTACATACTGCCAGTACAATGGATCAATTGACAAACAGACAGAAGGTGCAGCTATAAGGGAGCGCGGTTTCCGCTGTTATTGTCAACCCCTATATGGTGAGTTTAGAAGAACATGAGGTAACATCATCACCTTACAACCCTACGATACCTTCACCATCTTGGCACGTGACAACATGGAAAACTTCCTAAAGCATTTAAACCACCAACAGCCTTCCATTTACTTCACAAAGGAGACAGAGAGAAACAAAAAAGTCGCCTTCCTCGACACCGCATTTACAAGAGAACCTAATGGACGCCTAACCACCAGCGTCTACAGGAAGCCGACATACATGATCAATATCTAGCGTATGAGTCTCACTATCCGCGTTAAGTAAAGTGCAGTATTGTCGAGTGCCTTTACGAGCGTACGAAATGTCTGGTAACAAAACCTTTCGTTATCTCCAATGGGAAGAAACATTTGTCATCTGTTGTTGTTTCTAATGCTTATCCTTCCTCTTTCGTGCGTAGAGTAACTAAAAACAAGACACCGACAGCCAGCACTGAACACCCACCGAGTTTAGATCCACTGCATTTCCAGAATCGAAATTAAAGCATGCCGGTTCAGTAAAACTTGTTAATACTTCAAAATAAATTTCAATATCTCCTCTATCGTAAGTGAGATCGTCAGTCCAAAGGTTGTTCCAACTCAAGCTACAGCCACAGAGAAAGCCACAAAGAAGTCATCCTCAAAGGTTTTCATTTATCTTACTCAAACAGAACAACAGGTTCCTCAAACTTGGCCCCTTCTTCCGAGAGCGGCGACCACGAAACATGTAACTGTGATGTGATAGTGCTAAGCTTTCGTACTAAATGTCAAGTGCAAAAGTCGCCTCATATCACCTATCTGTTCGATGCCAATACTGGATGGACAACAGGTATTTTGTTGCAGTAACAAGATCGCCAAAGCACCATTATTACATTTTTATAGATGATGATGTGGTGCTGCCCTTAGATTTATTTGCATCGCCACAAATAAAGAGGCTTCCGCCGTCTAGAGTCTTCGAATAATGGCTCTTAGAGTACGAGCCTGTAGTTGGCGTTGTGGATTACAAATGGCATCATGGGGCCATCTGGACCAATGAGAGAAGAAAGAAAATATGTAACAAAACGGACAGTCCCCTTGTGATACCAAAAGTATGGTATGATGGTCTTTTCAATGCATTTCATTACAAATCTATCGAGCATCTCTCCCCTTACCGTTCGCAGTATGAAAACAAAAGCTGGTGGTCACAGCAGAGGTATATGTTTTCTGCTGTGGAACCGATAATTCGAGGCCAAGCGTTGATGTTTGTGCCTGTTAGTGCGGGAAATCCAAAACATCGCCCATACCCAACGTCTTTAAAGAACGAAAACACAAACTGGGGAGATTACATCGATACAGTTCGAGAGAAACCTCCTTTAATTTACAGAAATAGGACCTTAGTCGAAGATTTTAGGCGGAATCTTGAGGGTTACGTTATCAACACGACAACGTATTGCATGAATGTAACACGTCATCAACACATTAAACCGTACGCTCATTTTGATTTTCAGACAGAGATGTAGTTGATGAGGTTAGTGAAGAGGTAAACTAAATTAAAATTTCAGTTTTTCGAGCTGAAACCATCGCTCTCTGTTTGAACCCAGAGATTTGATAACCTCGTTTTCTCGATTCGTTTTTTAAATAATTTAGGGAACCTCGTTTTGGCCATCCGAGAGGAAAAAACTCAAATCTTAACGAACAGAAATAGAAGTCAGAAAGAGATATATATCTTCACCAATGAAAATCGTACATTGAATTATTGTAACCAACTGCGTTTTGAGTTGCTAAAGGGCAAACAAACTATTCGGAGATTTGACTTTGAACGGCGCCATCGTAAAAACATCGTAGTAACCTGGCCTTAAATTCATAACCATCATGGGAGCTCCACAAAAGGCTGCTGCTTTGATTTATCAGGGGTCAATCTGATCACTGATTTTGCTCAACAATCCAAGTTAACTTTTGGGTTGTTATTGAATCGAATTTTTATGAACAGTTGTGAACCAAGAGTGTGCATTTATTTTTTCAGTGTCAGCTTGTGTTGCAAAGAAGGTAATGAAAGCCGAAGAGTCTTTAGCTTGCTCCCTTGCTTTTTGAACTTGTGATTACTGAAAACTCCCTGTGTAGTTTTCTTGCACGTGGACTTTGTTATGATATTTTGTGGCTTTTTAGTTCACCAGGCTACTTTATATACCATTGGTATATTTTTATACATGATTATATTTTTTATTAGTCTATATAATGACTTAATTTAGCCAACGGGCCAGGATGTAATTTTTAAAAACTATCTCTCAATGTATCAATTTTTATTTACCATTTTTTTTAGATGATTGCCTTTCATTCGCTTTCCCAAGCTTGTAAAAACTTCCAAATTCTTTCTGAAAAACGGAGTGTTTCTCAATCAAAATCTGGATGTTGTAGCTATGATAATCACTCTGTCATTGTATTTTCTTTAATAATATCACAAAGTAAGATTTGTTTTTATAGCATTGACCAATCAAACCTCCTATTTTGTTTTAGCCTTCCATTGACATTTCTATCAACTGAACTTTCCCTTTTTTTAAGGAAAGTTTGTTTACAGGATTTTCTTAAGGAGAATGTTAAAGTACTTTGCAACATTAAACAGGGTCCTCGAAATACTCTTATTTCGTGCTGTTATCACTTTTAACTGAAATCAGCTTCTACTTCGCTTGAAAAAGTTGATAAAAGAGTTACATATCCAGCCACCATTCAAGTTTTCACTTACAAACCACTTTTGGAGTTACTGAACATCAAAGAAATTTCGTCCCACCCTTATAACTAACTGCTTTCGTTTTTGTGTATTTTTGTTTGTGACAAAAAAACCTCCTTCGGGAGACAAATAATCCCAGCAATGGGATAGAAAAACCTCCTTCCGGAGACAAGTAATCCCAGCAATGGGACAAAAAACCTCGATCGGGAGACAAATAATCCCAGCAATGAGAAAGTTGAGGTACAAGAGTTCTGCAACGTCTTTTAATGTAAGACCTCATAAGGTTGTTGAAGCGGCATTGTACCTTATTAGTTGTATTGGTCTTTATAAAGATGAAGGTATTGTATTGAACCAAAATTGTATTATTAATTATAATGAAGAAATTTTACAACATGAGAATAAGAGTGACAATACATGTGATTAACAATCAGTAACAGCTGGTATAAATAGCAACAATATTAATGTAGATTCACAACAACTAGATGGTGAAGATGAATGGAGTGAAGATGAAGTAGAAATTCGACAGGTTTTATCGATGCTCTGCTAACATCAACCGACTTTTGAGAAGCCACTGAACGTGAAAATATTCTCAATGTTGCACCAGCTTAGGGTGATAGGCCATTGAGTGTATTCAGATACAAATATTCTGAAGAATTAGCATATCCTAGAATATTTCTTGGCCAGAGAAGACCAGAAAATAAGAAACATATGGTTGAACTCCACTACAGTGAAATCTGTAAGTCTGAATTTAGAAGTTCAAATAGAAGACCAGCCAAGTGTGTTGAGAACATACTTTGCAAAACAAAAACGTCACAAATGAAAATCCTTTTAGGCCAGTCCCAAATTGCACTCAGAAAATGTAATAGCAGGATCCAAAATGCAGGAAACTTAAAACAACAAAGAATATTTGATAGCTTAATCTTTCATAATGAGGGATTTAAATTTCTGAGAGCCTCAAGAAGTTCACCTCCATATTTTGGGAAAGCTAAAAGAGACCTTTTTGTAATGAAGACAGTCAGGTCCAGCTTTCTCGTTTTGTAGTTTCTCATCAGCAGAGACACAATGGGTACACTTTCTTAGAATACTTGGTCAAATTGTTAATCAGCAAAAATATACTGATAACGAACTAGAGAGTTTAAACGGGGAAGAAAAATGTAGATTAATTCAACGTGATCCTGTAACTTGCGCCAGACATTTTGACTATGAAATTAGTCAATTCCTCGAATACCAGCCAAGAGGTTCACCTTATATTCAAATGTTGATTCGGCTTGAGAATACATGACAGTTTTCTATGGACAGTGATGCAAACGTGACATCAGATATGGATAATATAATTAGTTGACAAAGACCAACAGACAACCATGAACCACTTAAACTAGTCAACAGATAAGTACACAGATATTCTCATAGTTGTCGGAAGAATACAAAAAGTGACGGTGGACACAGACAGAAATTTTGTATCCTCTAAATACTGATATCCCTCCAAGTAAAATAAAAAGACACAAAGATGCAAGGAAATAAATCCGAAAGAATCCAAATGATGTGAAGGAAGGCGAAGATATATTCTTTGATCAGTTACTGTTTGAGCTCAGTCTCGCAAAAGAAAACTACTCGCTAGCTATAAGCTCATCATTTAATGCACCTACTGCGTTTTTGAAAATAAATCCAAATGAATTGAGGATGAACAATTACAATCCTGCTTGTCTTAGTGCATGGAGAGCAAATATGGACATTCAGTTTGTCGTAGATGTTTATGTATGTGCTGTGTATATGGTGACTTATATATCAAAAGCTCAAAAAGGAATGAGTAAACTTTTACAATAGGCTTATACGGAAGCAAATGAAGAGAATTCCAGTATAAAACAGCAAGTCAGAGACATTGGCAAAGTTTTGAATAATGTTTAAATAAGTGCTCAAGAGGCTGTGTATATTGTTTAAAAACTTCCCATGAAAAAGGTATATTCGACAAGTTATATTTATAAATACTTCACCTCCTGAAGATGAAGTGGAGCTTTTAAAGCCAATTAATGATATTATAGATTTGGAGGAAGACTGTGAAGAAATATATAATAGATACTGATAATCTTCTGTTATAAACATTTACGGATGATGATCATAATGATGATGATGAACGAAACATCTGATGAGCCATTCTACTTTTTTTTTTTGAGTGGAGGGGCTGGTGTGGGTACAGCACACCTCATAAAATGGTAAAGCAGCATTTAATATTAAAGGTAATACAATACACACAATAATAAGTCAGCTTTTTCGAGGTAAATTTATATTCACAGATGAAATATCCATGGTTGGCAACACAATGTTTAATGTTGAAATCAACAATAGATTGAAGGATATTAAAGGTAGTTATTTACCTTTCAGGGGTGTTAGTATTATTGCTATTGGTAATCTATTTCAACTCCAACCAGTTACGGATGGACAGATGGTTATGTATTTAAAAGATATGGACAACTCTGGCTATGGTATTCTTCCTCCCAATTTGTGGCAAGAACATTTCGGTATGTTTAGACTACATGAAATAATGAGACAAAGAGAAAGCTAAGACTTTGCTGAGGTGTTGAATAGGTTAGGAGAAGGAAACCATACTACAGAAGATATTATGAAATTCAAAGAAAGAATGATAGAACCAACAGTTGTCACTACCCCAAAGATGTTCTTCACTTGTTTATACAGAATGCAACGGTCATTGAGTTCAATGATAGAGCACAATGTGCCATATCAGGTGCTAAGTACAGTTTCAAAACAAAATTCAGTGTCATAGGAGCTGAGTCACAAGAACCGAGCCATAAATTCATGAAACAGATACCTAGTGATCCAAAGAAAACTAAACAGCTGCATTCCATGCCAAATGTTGCAGTTGAAGAGAAAACTGAAATCTCTCCACACAAGATTAGACGATAGTATGACAAATAGTGCTGGTAATGTAATAAATATGGTACGAGTACATCAGACAGACAGACCATCTGGTACTGTGTGGGTACAACTTGACCACACCGGAACCAAAACCAGACTTGACAATAGACAGTTACATGTCCAAGATATTGAACCTACATGGACACCCATCGAACCTGTTACTACAGAGTTTGCTATTGGCAGAAACAGAACAGCACAAGTTCTTAGAGAACAGTTCCCATTATAACCTGCTGTAGCTAAAACCATTCACAGATCACAAGGTGATACCGGTACTAAAGTTTTAGTTAACCTTAATACTAGAAAAGCAATTTCCCATATACACTATGTAGGGTTGAGTAAGGTGACTATTATAGAAGGCGTACATATAACAGATCTTTGTGAACACAAAGTCGCTGTTAACTATGACGCAAAGAAAGAGATGGAACGTTTTAAAAATAATGTAAAATTAGATTTGTGTATAAGTCCTGTTTACAATGTTGATCAAATACCATTAAAACTCTGTTGCTTAAACACACGATCTTTACATAGACATACTGAAGATGTACGTAAAGACTTGTATTCTAATACCGATGTCAACATTTTCTCAGAGACTAAGTTGATTCATTCAGACAATAATAGTATGTATAGCATTGGTGGTTATAGTTTATCTAGAAATGAAGCTACACCATCGGTTAATAATGTCAGACCATTTGGAAGAATGACAGTTTACAGTCGTATTGATCATTATCCTGGTTATCCATACTCTTGCAATTCTAATGGAGTTGAAGTAATTGTAACCAGGCTGGTGACTGTCCCACATCTATATATTAAAATTAATATCCTTATTACTTAATCTAAATTATTTAATCTTTAATTTTTTAGTAA